ACGATGACTCGTTTCAACCTTCAGGTTTACCCCGACATCTCACGAGCAATGCGTCACGATTTAGTTTCGATATGGCGAGCGGAGACTCGACATCCCAGGAGCGGATTATGGAGGAAAAGCACAAGCAGAAAGAAGCTGCTAAGAGGGCTAAAGCCCAACTTGATCGGTCAAATGATTCCGACGACGAAGATTTCGACTACGATGCCATGATGGATGATGATGGGTTGGAGGAGAGGATCCCCGGCGTGAATGCTGATGATGATTTTGGTAACGATGGTTTTGATGGATTTACGGGCACGGGACATGCGTTTAGACCTCACGGGAACCAACTGTTTGTACCCGTATTACCTCCGGTGATGTCTAATCCTATGAGTCCGCTAGATTTGGACTCCTCTGCGCCCCGCTCGCCGGAGAAAGACATTCCAACCCCGCTAGTGATAAGTCCTAACTCTGCAGTTGCTGGTCCTTCCCTCGGAGCTGGTGGTATGCCTTCATCTAACAGTCCACTACCCAGCAACAATATGGCTTTCTTTCAGAATGGAGCAGGTGTTGCGACGATGTCCGCCGAATCCTCGCTCCGACAACAACAACAGCAACAACAGCCGCCGCAGCCGCTTCTTAACCAGGGAGTGGAAGAGAAGTCTACCTTTTACGTTGAAAGCGATGAAGATGATTTGTATTTTGACGATGGCATGATCGATGATGTCTTGGGGGAAATCGAGGGCGAAAAGTTCGACGAGTCTGTTTTCGACGATGAAACTAGTCATCTTTACGAAAGGAAGCCGAAGTTCATTACGCAGCTGCCGACTGTGCCTGGCGGTATCGGGGATGCAGCGGATAACAACCAGCATGCGGAAGGGCATGGTATCAATAATGGTGCTAATGAGGATAGAATGGTGCCCCTGGTCGCCCAAAACAGCCTACTGCAACGCAATATATCTAATGAGAACGGAGGTATATGTGGAATACCAGGGGGTATAAAGAGGCGGACAATCCAACCAACCACCATCCGAGGACTGACTGAGGGCAATCTGGAGAAATACCACAGCGCCCTCGCCAAAGCAGCCAACGAAGCCGCTCTGAACGGCCGATTCGAACGAAGTGGCAGCGTCAGCGAAACATCAAGTGGTGCAGGCAGCGCCCCACTTTCCCCAGACTCCCACCCAGGCCTGACGGCAGATGACAGCCGGGTCAGCCAAAACGTCGACTCGATGGCCTTTGAAGAAGTCTTTGACGACTTTGACTACAACGACGACGACCTCGACGACGACCCGATAATCGCTGCCGCCAACGCTGAAGCCCTCGAGAACGACGACGAGGGTTTCTACGGGCAGGAATTCGGCTTCTACCCACAGTCCCTGGGCAACAACTGCGATGACCAGATGGTGCTGGGCGGCTACTTTGGCACGCGCGGCGTCGAGGGCATCACGAGGAGCCATAGCGGCCGTGCCAATTTCCAGGAACCCAGCCTCACGCCCATTACTGAACGGAGTGAGTGGAGCACGCGCAACTCCATCATTTCGTTGACGGCGCATGCCGCCGCTAGTGCGAATGCGTCGTTAACAAACCCTCCTCCGCCTCTGGCACATCTTGGCGATTTGGGCAGCATTGATGACCAGATGAACGCGCTCATGAAGCTGAGGCGTGGGGCGTGGGGCGGGAGTAATGGGAGCTTGCAGAGCAGTGCGGCCAGCCACACTGGTAGCTCTCCTGTCGCGACTAGTATGGCCGCGGCGGCATCGAGTCGGGGCAGCTTTGCTAGTTTACACGACGTTTTGGCTGAGCAGGGACGGTGCGGCAGTAGCGGTAATAATCTTACTAATGTTAATAATAATAATACTAATCATAATTCGATGTCGGCTGGGTCGCCGGTGGGCATGGAGAGCAGCAGTTATAGCGGCGACAGCAGCAATGTCTCTCAGCAGCACTGTCCTCATTCGCACCCCCATCGCAATCTCCATCAACAGCAAAACCACCAGCCACTGGATAATGATTTCTCGCCCCTGATAACCTCTACCAACTACAATTACATACCCACGCCGTCTGACAAGGACAAACCCCTCCCTCCACCACCCAAACCCTCCGAACTACATCATCATCATCATCATCATCATCATCATGGCCACTCCCATTCCCATCCGCACCCGCCACTAGAAATAGACATTGACAACGGCCCCGTTACCAATGTCAACGCCAATGCCAACGCCACCACTCCACCTTACTCCAAGGACGAAAACAACAGCAGCACCACCAGCAACAGCATCAGCAAGAGCAAATCCCAGCACAGCCGCGCCAACAGCACAACTGAGAGCATCAGCTACGTCAAGGAGGCCAATGAGGCGGGCGGCGATCGGTGGGTGCTTGAGAGGCGGCGTACGGGTGAGAGCGGGGAGCGCGAGGTTGTAGAGAGGGAGGTTATGGCCGGTGGGTTGATATGAGCAACGAGAAAAGAGAGAGGGAGGAAGGAGGAAGGAGGAAGGGGAGGAAGAACAAGGGAAAGGTTCGTTTGACAAATTTCTGAGGAGAGATTATTTATCCCATTTTTCCCTATTTTTTGGATATATTTGGGATTTGTTTTATACATATATATACCACAGCTATATACCACAGCTCTAGTGACGACGTGCGTTTGTTGGATATAGCAGATTTTGCGTTGTCTTTGTGGTGTTGGAGATAGGTTCACTTCCCCCCTTTATTTTGTTTTTTTATCTTATGTTGACTTGACCTGGCAGGCGTTTTCATTTTTGATGTCGCCGTCATGGTTTTCTTTTTCTTTTCTCTTTTCTCTTTGGTACATTCTCCCCTTTTTGTTTCATATTACATTTTTACACCCCATTTTTTTCAACATACCTCTTCTTCTTGTTTTCTTATGATTTAATGATACCCACGCATCTCCTTGAGCTTGAGCTAGCGAGATGAAACACAGGAGGGAGGTGGAGCAGAGGAAGAGGAAGAGACGTCATGGGACGAGGAGTTGGGATACTTTCGTAACCAATAACTATCTATGCCCCATTCTTGTTGTTTTCTTGAACTGTTTCTACATTTAATCCCCTAACTTAACCTTCCCCCTTCCCCCAGCTAATTATGCAGAATAATATAAATAATAATGCTCAATCCGAGATCGATTCCCCCACAAAATTCATCCCCACACTCTCCCTCCCAGCTAGGTAAAGTCCAGTAGTACATTCTCCGTACGAAACCCAGAATCAGCCATGGCCCTCGCGGGTGTAAAACACCGGGCCGCGTCGTGAGGTAGAGAGTCCGTCCGAGCAACGGCTTTTTTATTTTATTTTATTTTATTTTGTATTTTATATTTTATATTTTATATTTATATTTTATATTTATTTCATATATTTATTTTGTTACTTCAACCAGGTTTTACAAATAGCCATGGTTAAGGAAAAAAAAAAAAAAAAAAAAAAAAAACCATGCGTTATTTTTAGATCTGAGGAGGGAGGTCTGAGTGGTCATGTGCAGACTCAGATATCCTTTTTCTTTGGGAGTGATTGTGCTGTGCACTGTATGTACAGCATACAGATAATACTGTGTAAATGTGTGTTGGAGTTGTTTATATGAGGCATTATTTGGCATTGATGATACATCTTGCAGTGGAAATAACTCAACCCTTTTGACGTTACAGAGGTTGCTAACTACTACACTACCTTACTGCGTAGGTACAGCCAAGAAGAGCCTGGTCTGGCCAACACGTTCTTCACTGTGCCATTTCATGCCATCCCATCCCACTCTTGTTTCATTTTTTATTCTTCCCACTTCTGTCTGTATATTATTATTATTATGTCTCTATTATTATTCTTCTTCACCGCAACTACAGAGTACTCCCCACTGCAATTGGATTTGATATTATGTACTCCGTACATCAATTATAATTGAGAGAGAATGTCTGAAGAATACTCGTATCTTGGCTGTACTCAGGACGCTGTAATCATGTTGCACCGCCACGGCATGCCAAGGACTTGCCTGGTTGGTTTGGTTGGTTCGGTTGAGAATGAGAAAAATTGGATATTTGATGCCAATTGCCAATTGACGATTGACGGAATGGGGGGTTTTTCTTTCTTTCTTTTCTGATTCATGAGGGTTTGATGTAAGGAATAATACTCTGTAATAATAAACAATAATAATAAATGAGGCACAGCTGTGTAACAGTAGTAGTATTATTATTTTTTATGATTCCAGGACAGATATTTTCTTTCTCCCCCTCCAGAGTACAGTACTAAGTATAATAATAACCCCGATATAAAACTAAAAAGTTGGGGGGAAAGATCTTCTTGGCAGTGAAGAGCAGTGGAAAGAGTGACTTATTATTATAATTGTATGGAATGTATTCTGTACTGCAAATTTCCTCCTCTTGTTGCCGAGTTGCAGTTGGATTGATGCAAGATCTGCACGCAGTAGTATGATGTAAGGAGTAAGGAAGATAATATGGGGGATGAATTGCGATCAAACTCGTTGTGTATTGTATTCTTTTACTATTATTAACAACTAACTATTCTCTCCTGCTCTCGACTTGTGTTTTCTGCGATTGTTTCAGCTGAATTCCACTGCAATAATAATGATGATGATGATGATGATGAACTCTCTCAATGTGCTGCTGTCCTCGGGAAAGCGGCCGCGCTAGTCCCTACTAGGCCTAGTGCGTGTGGAAATAATAGGAAATCCCAAACACCCTCTAACCCCACTCTGCCCGATCCTGCCCGCTGATTGGCTGTCTGCGGGGGTATTGGCTGCGAGTCCCCTGGCACCGGCGCAATACGCTGCGTACGGTCACAAAACAGGATACCACCGAAGACACGCAGCCAATGCCCGCCAGCGCCAGCCAATCGCAGGCGTACGTCTGTCACAGCCCGTCACCGACTCCCAGCGCCCAGGCAGCTGACTCAGCCCGGGCGTGTGCCCAGCCTCCCGCCACAGCCGGGGGTCAGTCGGCTGCAATTGCGGCTCCCTGCGCGGCTGCATCGTCTTCTCCTTCTATTTTCTTCTTCTTCTTCTTCTTCTTCTGCTTCTTTATTTGAACCTCAATTCCTCTCGCCTCCGCTTGGAACTAACAAGACATCTATCTTTCTTCTCGTCCCTTCGAACCGAAGAACAGACCGAAACCATCTATCCGCCTGCCCTACACTATCCTACACTATCATACCCTAGAGCTTGTAGATACATACAAGCGCTCTTTGTCCTTAATTTTTCTTTTCCTTCTTTTTTTTTTTTTTTTTTTTTTTTCCTTTTCTTTTTTCCCCCCTTCCACCCACCCTCCCCGAAACCACCACCAGGAGAAGAATCTTTCTTCTTCTCTGATGAAACGGGAGCCTCGCTAGGCGGAACGACAGTGCTAGTCGGTAGTTCCCGCCTTATCCTACCTTTCGATCTCCACTCGTTGGGTTACTTACTGGCTCCGCGCAACAATTGCTTCGCGCCGCCCCCCACGCCTCAGTTATATAGTTCGCAAGTGACTGACGCCTTATTGTATCTTCTCCTTCGCTGAAGAGGATAATAGTAAGGTTTGCTACCAGTTTGGGACGCGGAAAAAAGAGAAGAAAAACACATAGACAATATAGAGAGTTGTGACGCATTTACGAAACGAGCGGGAAAAAACTGGAAAATAGGAGATAAAAGCACGGAAATTTTTCTTGTCGAAAAATAAGGATATCTTTATTGGATTTTTTTTGTCCTCTCTCCTTGTTGAGTAAATCTACCTTTTTTGCCTTTTACCACCCTCTTTTTTTCCCCCTGCGGAACATGGGTCTTTCGTCGTCTCTCCCCTTTAAAAATCCATAATTCTTACTCATAGAACAATCTTGTTGTCCGCTTTGATTTTCAAGGTTTTCAATTCTTTTCCCTGAAGACTCTGTGACAAACTTCCCCAATTTCACGACTCGACTTTTTTTTACGTGATTAAGAAATACATTTCACAACCATGTTGCGAACTGCTACGGTGAAGGCGTCCTCGAGCGCTGCGTTCCTCCGCCGCTCGCCCTGCGCGTGCAACACCCGATCATTTTCCGTCGTTTCGTCGAAACCCGCCAATGTCATGTCGCGGAGTAGCTCCAGGCTGCATCTGGCCTCGCGGAGACCCTTGGCTGTCGTTGGTCGCCAGCAGGTATGGAATCAGAAGAGATATAAGGCCATTGCTGCCGAGGAGTCTAGTAAAGGAGTGGTATGTCTCCATTCTCACTTTAGCAGCTCTTTTCTTTTCTTTTCTTTCCTATTTTTGAAACTGACAGTATCTTGGACTTTGTAGGATCCTAACGATTCCTTCCTTCAAGGGAGCACCGCGAATTACATTGATGAGATGTACATGGCTTGGAGAAAGGACCCCACAAGCGTTCATGTCTCATGGCAAACATACTTCCGCAATATGGAGGATGGCAATATGCCCATCTCGCAAGCCTTCCAACCTCCGCCAACCCTCGTCCCAATCCCAACCGGCGGTGTCCCTCAACATATGCCCGACGCTGGGACCGCCAGTGCTGCTGGGACCGAAGTATCGAACCACTTGAAAGTCCAGCTTTTGGTGCGCGCATACCAGGCCCGCGGACACCACAAAGCAAAAATTGACCCCCTGGGAATTCGTGGCGAAGCCGAGACTTTCGGATACAACAAGCCCAAGGAGCTGGAGTTGGATCATTACGGATTCACTGAGAACGATCTGGACCAAGAATTCGCCCTTGGACCTGGTATTCTGCCACGTTTCGAGACCGCGACGAGGAAAAAGATGACCCTGCGGGAGATCATTGCTGCGTGTGAGAAGATCTACTGCGGTTCGTACGGTATTGAGTACATCCACATCCCGGACCGAGTACCTTGCGATTGGATCCGTGATCGCGTTGAGATCCCGACGCCTTACAAATACTCCGTCGATGAGAAACGTCGCATCCTTGATCGCCTGATTTGGAGTTCTAGTTTCGAGGCTTTCCTTGCCACCAAGTTCCCCAACGATAAGCGCTTCGGCCTCGAAGGTTGCGAAACCCTGGTTCCGGGAATGAAAGCTCTGATTGACCGCAGCGTTGAATATGGTATTAAGGATATCGTCATTGGTATGCCACATCGTGGTCGTCTCAATGTGCTTAGTAACGTTGTGCGAAAGCCCAATGAATCCATTTTCAGCGAATTTGGCGGTACCATGGAGCCATCTGATGAAGGATCTGGAGATGTCAAGTACCATCTTGGCATGAATTTTGAACGGCCTACGCCCTCCGGCAAGCGCGTTCAGCTTTCCCTCGTTGCTAACCCGTCGCATCTGGAAGCTGAGGACCCTGTTGTTCTCGGAAAGACTCGCGCCATCCAGCATTACAACAACGACGAAAAGGAATTCAACACTGCCATGGGTGTGCTCCTTCACGGCGATGCTGCATTTGCTGCCCAGGGCGTCGTTTACGAAACTATGGGATTCCACTCGCTTCCCGCATACTCCACCGGGGGAACGATCCATATCATCGTGAACAACCAAATCGGCTTCACCACTGACCCCCGCTTTGCTCGTTCCACACCATACTGTTCTGATATCGCCAAGGCAATCGACGCGCCTGTCTTCCACGTCAACGGAGATGATGTTGAAGCGCTCAACTACGTCTGCCAGATGGCAGCTGACTGGCGCGCGACCTTCAAGCGCGACGTAGTCATCGACATCGTCTGCTACCGGAAACAGGGCCACAACGAAACGGATCAGCCTTCCTTCACCCAGCCCCTGATGTACAAGCGCATCGCAGAGCAGACCAACCAACTCGACAAGTACGTCGACAAGTTGATCCGGGAGAAGACTTTCAGCAAGGAGGACATCGAGGAGCACAAGAAGTGGGTCTGGGGGATGTTGAACGATAGCTTCGATCGCAGCAAGGACTACCAGCCCTCCAGCAAAGAGTGGTTGACGTCCGCATGGAACGGATTCAAAACCCCGAAGGAACTGGCTACGGAGGTTCTCCCGCACCCGCCCACTGGCGTCCCCACAGAAACGCTGAAGAAAATTGGCGAGGTTCTTGGCAACATCCCTGAAAACTTCACCGTGCACCGTAACCTGAAACGTATCTTGGCGAACCGGAAAAAGACCATCGAAGAAGGTGAGAATATCGATTGGTCGACCGCTGAGGCGCTTGCGTTTGGTTCTCTCTGTGCTGAGGGCCACCATGTGCGTGTCTCTGGACAGGATGTGGAGCGTGGTACCTTCTCGCAGCGCCATGCGGTTCTGCACGACCAAGAGAATGAGGCGACCTACACAGCGCTACAGCATATCAGCCCCGATCAAGGGAAGTTTGTCATCTCGAATTCTTCCCTTAGCGAGTTTGGCGTGTAAGTTTTCATCCCGACCTTTTTTTTTTCCCCGTTTGTACGTACTGACATGTTTGACAGCTTGGGCTTCGAATACGGATATTCCCTCACCTCCCCCGATGCATTCGTTATGTGGGAGGCTCAATTCGGCGATTTCGCCAACAACGCTCAATGTATCATCGACCAGTTCGTCGCGTCCGGTGAATCCAAGTGGCTTCAGCGGTCTGGGCTTGTCATGTCTCTGCCACATGGTTATGACGGCCAGGGTCCCGAGCACTCCTCCGCTAGAATAGAACGTTATCTCCAACTGTGTAACGAAGATCCAAGAGTGTTCCCCACTGGTGACAGAATCGACCGCCAACACCAGGACTGCAACATGCAGATTGCTTACATGACCACGCCATCCAACTTGTTCCACGTCATGCGCAGACAGATGAACAGACAATTCAGAAAACGTAAGATTTAAGCTTCTCTCTTTTTTTTTGTTGTTTTTTTTTTTCCGTGTAGAAAGAACATATCCAGGAACTAACATTCACATTCCAGCCCTAATAATCTTCTTCTCCAAATCTCTCCTCCGCCACCCCCTATGCCGCTCGCCGCTCTCAGACTTCACCGGCGACTCTCACTTCCAATGGATAATCCCGGATCCAGAACACCACACAGGCGCTGTAAACAACCACAAAGACATCGACCGCGTAATAATATGCTCCGGCCAAGTCTACGCCGCTCTACAAAAACACCGCACCGCACACGGCATCAAAAATACAGCCATAACGCGCATCGAGCAAATGCACCCCTTCCCCTGGCAGCAACTCAAAGAGAACCTGGACAGCTACCCGAACGCCAAGGACATCGTCTGGTGCCAGGAGGAGCCGCTGAACGCGGGTGCATGGAGCTACATGCAGCCGCGCATTGAGACGCTGCTGAACGAGACGGAGCACCATAACCGCCGCCATGTGCTGTATGCTGGCCGCCACCCGAGCGCGAGTGTGGCGACGGGTATGAAGGCTAGCCATGTTAAGGAGGAGCAGGAGTTGCTGCAAGATGCGTTTGAGGTGCATCAGGATCGGTTGAAGGGGGAGTAAGGATATGAGGTCCACATAAAAAAAAAAAAGAGAGAACCGGGGGTTTGGGGGGTGAAAGATTTTTTTCTTTCTGCTTTTTCACCCTTGCTTTTTTTCCCCCCTTGTTAATTACTTGTTCATTGCGATATGGATTTTTTTCGTGAAGAATATTGAATCCTTTTTTTATTGTCGTTTTCCTATTGTATATCTTTTTATTTCCCTCACTTGCCTTCATTTCCTGTTTAGCCGCATTATCTCTTGATATTTTTACTGTACCTCTTCCTTTTCCCTTTGTAAATTTCCATCGTCATCATCATCTTCCTCCCCGTTATTAAAACACCCATCCACAAAATAATCCCCAATTTTCCCCCATCTCCTATTGTTCTTATCGTAGCATATGCGTTTCCATTCCATTCCATATTTCATTCCTTTCCTTTTCTCGTCCTCCTCTTCCTATTACTTTTTTTTCTTCCCACATCTTTTTTAATCCGGGCTCCCCAAAAATATCGACATATGAAACGTCAACCAACGAAAAAAAAACTACAACAAAACCAAAAAAAAAAGCTAGCTGTAAGAGTTGGTATCTCACTTTCGCCTTTGTTTTCCCATGAATTCTTTCTCTGTTTGACTGATGGGATTATTTGATTTGATATACACCGAATGAAAATGGTTTCTGCTGAGAACAGAGGAAGATCGCAATTGATGTATGTTTCACTGCCGTTGTGTATTTTACTGAGGTCAAAAGGGGAGATAGAGAGACAGAGAGTGTGTGAGAGAAGGAGGGAGGGAGGGAGTAGATCAGATTAATCATGGCTAAATAGCGATATACATGGTTTTTGTGTGTATTGTACATCCTACCTACTTTTTTCGAAAGCCTGGTTTATTATTATATAGAAGTGGGAAGGAAAGAGAACAAAAAATGTAAATTAGATGATGATTTTTATACTTGATATTTGATTTCATGTCTTCTTTTTTTTTCTTTTTTTGGTTTCCCACTGGTTTACCATTTTGGGTTCTTTGATAAGTGATAAATATGTATTTCGCTATATGTCCTGTGAGAATATCCAAGATTATAAGCTGTCTGCACTGAAAGAATTCATGAATCTATGAATTAAGGTTTGATGCCAAGGACCCATTGAGCCCTATTCCATATACAGTCTAGCGTCAGTGACCCCTCCGACGTTCCACACTAAACCATTCTAGGCCAGACGCGGCTCCGATGGAATCTGAAATATCTCCCCGTTTTCTTGCTCCAGCTTCGGCAACCCCCTTCCTATACTCTCTCCAACGTGCCGCTTCTCCCCACCCTCTTCTCTATATATCTATCTATCCTCCTTTGTGATTGCAGAAACACTCCACCCCACTGGCAATTTCACTAACTGATTACCACCACCCCAACCAACCCATTTGCTTGCAAGTCTAGCTAGCTGTCTGTGCCCTCTCACCTCCCACCTCACCTGGGTGCAGAGGAGCAGAAACGATTTCTCCTATCGCTCCCTTTCCTTACTTTCCGTTCCCTTGATCCCACCTTATAAGTTAATACACCAGTACCTCACACACAGCCCCAGTGGAATTCATGGCCACCACTCTCCCCCCCGGCGCTTCCCACGCCGCAACAACCACCACCAACAACAGCACCGCAGGCCCCGGACCCAGCACCACCTCCATCCGCCAATCCGCCCGCCAAACCCGCACAAACCCCAGCCGCACCTCCAAAACAGCCAGCCGCGCCACCTTCGCCGGTCTAGGTCTACACGGCAGCAGCGGTGTGTACGGGCTCGGTGCCGGTGCCGGTGTCGGCGCTGCTGCTGCTGCTGCTGCTGGTGGTGTAGGGGGCCCAGGTCTCGAAGCATTCGGCGCGGCAGCAGGCGCTCACCATATCCCGCACGGCCTCTACCCGGCCATCACGCACTTCACGGACGCCATCACGGCGCTGCCGAAGGAGTTTCGGAGACATGCGTCGTTGCTGAAGGAGGTGGATGGGAAGGCGTGGGCGTTGGAAGAGGCGTTGGCGAAACAGCTGGATGCGGCGACGGCGTCGACGCCTTATGCGAAATTGATGCAGGGGGGTGTTCCGGTGAGTTTTTTTTTTTTTTTTTTTTTTTTTTTTTTTTTTTCCCTTTTTGGGGGGGGGGGGGGGGGGCTCTTATAATGCACCGGTTTAAATTTGATGTGTGTATGTGTGTATGTATGTATATATATGCTAATATGTTTTGTTGCGCGATAGACGAAGGAACCGATCAACTACGACTCGCCTGAAGCACTTGCCCGCAGGAAGATTTTCTTTGACCTCCGCGCCACCCTCTCCGACCTCATGATTACTACCGACGAGAAGAACCATGTATTGTGGAATGCGAATAATGAGCTTGAGAAGCAAGTTAGACGCATTGACATGACCTTTCCATACGTTGAGGGCGAGATTAGTGAGGAGGCCCGTCTGGGCAGTCTCACACATTGGGCGTATTCGAACAAGACTGCGGCTAAGACAGCAGGGAATACATCTGAGCGTCCCCGACGCGAGACTGCTTCTACCCGCGATCAGAACCTTGCTGCTGCTCTCGAGGGTGAAGCTAGAAGGGAGGGCGGCTCCCGAAAACATCGACGTACTCAAGCTGATGCGGATGGAGAAGACGGACGGATTCCGTCGCGGAAAGGCACGGGTGGTAAAGGTAGAAGCGGCGAAACGCCCAGTATCCCGATTGGCACGGGTGGTGCAGTCGCGAGCTCTGCTGCACCCGCCAAACGGAGGAGAGTTGAAAAACCTCAACCCACTGCTTCAGCTGCCGTTGCCGCAATGGAGAGGTCGGTTAGTGCGACGACAAATACAGGTACTGGACGGGGTGCTGCGAAGGAGCCTTCTGCTACTGATGGCGTGAAAAAGAGGGTGCGAGCACCTAATGCTAATCCTGGAGGGAGGAAAAGGTACGTCACAACATTGCCTGTTTGGAAATCCTAAGTGTGTCGAGGGTTGCAGAACCAATTCTAATCTGAATGGAAATGATGAAAATAGGGCGAACACAGCAGCATCCGCGACCGGATCACCAGCGCTTTTCCCTTCTTCCGCCGTTCCCTCCCTTAGCGCTTCTATAAAGGCTGGTAGCCCCGCTCCCAATACTCTTCCGGGTCCACAATCCTCCCGATCACAACTCGGCAGCTCCCAGGTAGCCACTGGCCGCCAACGGCCCTCATCTTCTGCGTCGAATCGCGCGTCCAATTCAAGTACGTTACCCGGACTTTCAACTGGATCCATCATCCACCAGGACGTCTCTAACCCGGTTGTTCCAATCGCAGAAAAACCCCCTTCTTCGGACCTGAAGCCCTCCACATTGTCACGGGATACAGCTAGCGCTAGAATGGAGCCCGGTTTTTCTACCCCAGCCGAAGTGAACGGCGATGGGAAAGCCAACGCTTCTATCTCTGCTGCCTCTAGACCCGCGGAGCCGGTACCAAAGCGGGAGGACACAGCCCCTGCTAGCTACAATAGCGTCAGTAACGGAACCAAAACAGAACCCAACTCCGAATCGAATTCCGCGCCGCCACAGCCAAAAGGCCGCTCTTCCAAGAATTCAACGCCAGTGGGCTCTACCTTTCCTGAATCATCGCAGCAACAGCCGCAGCCACAACGGACCACAAGACCTCGCGGTGGTAACACCACAGTAGCCGATGGCGGAGGACCAGGCGGCTCCAGCACGACTAGCAACACTGTCACCGGCATCACCAAGCGATCACATAAAAAGGGCGCAGGACTGGCCGCCACGCAGCAACTTATCGCTGCTGTAGCCGCCACGGAAGACGAGGACTCGTCGCGCCAGGGGGATGATGAGGAGGAAGAAGGGGAGCCGAGGTATTGTTATTGTAACCAAGTTAGTTTTGGAGAGATGGTTGCGTGTGATAATGAGACGTGTCCGCGGGAGTGGTTCCATTTGTCGTGTGTGGGGCTGTCGAGGGCGCCGTTGAAGAGTTGTAAGTTTCATCCATCACCCCCCCCCCCCCCCCCCTCCCCCTATTTCCTTTCCTTTCAGAATGGGGACTACGGAATTTTCTCGTATATCGATTTGTTTTGGAGCAGATGCTAATATCTATGTTCGTGCGTCGTGTGTGTGTTTCTAGCCAAGTGGTATTGCAATGAGTGCAAGGACAATCAGCGGAAAGGGAAATCGGGCAATGGGAAATAGCGATGTGATAATCGACGGATGTGATGTCCGCTTGTACTCCATTACCGCTCTTCTTATTCTACTTCTCCTAAAGGATGCTAGCCACCAAATTTGCATCGATTGTTCATGTCTCTCTTTTTTGCCCCCTTGCTGCAGATAGATAGATATCCCTTATTCTCCTTTACTTTTGTCCTAACCTACCTACCTCACGAATGTTACGAAACTAGGAGAGAAAGCCGAGCCGGATGGATTCCTCAAACGGATGGCAGAATTTTGGAGCTGGGGCGTTTTTTCCTTAGTAATTGACGCCTGACTCATTCTCTTTTTTTGTTATTATTATTTTCTTCTCCAGTCTTGCATTTAAATGGCTGCTGGCCTTCTCCACTTGGACTCCCTTGGGTCACAATAAATTACTCTTCCATTTTTCTTGTCTTTTTCCACTTTCACTCTCTATATATTAAAACATCGTCACAAACATCTTTCTTTTCTTTTCCTTTTGGTTGTATCTTGATTTGGACAAATAAGAACCAATGCCGCTGGTCGGTTTAAGAACACATTAACACTTTTTTCAAACTAGGTCTACAGATGTGATGTGTACAATGATTGTCATATACAATTTGACCTAACTACTCCACACGTCGATTTAAAAACAAAAGACGGCCATGTGATAACTCCCTATCTAATTGCAATACTAAATTGGATTGATGCAAAATCGTAAACAAATACACATATATGCATGAATGCTAAAATTCAGAGAAGATAGAAGCAGATAATATAAGAAAGGCGAAAATGGGCACAGTCCCCAATCTATCCCTATACCACTCACTACACGTCACAAGGTCTCACAGGCCCAAGACATGCAAAATCAAAGTATCCAAATCCAACAATTAGAGACACAACGATGCTCCACCGTATACAGCGAACCCCCCCTTTAAAAACTCCCCGTAAACTGATCCAATATCTGCCCTGCCAACGGCCTCCTCTGCTGCCCCTGACCCTGGCCCGCCTCCCCACCCTCACCGCCACCACCATCACCAACCGCATTTACCCCGCCCCCTATCACCAACACCACCCCTCACCCCTCCAGCCGGAGGCTAAAGGCGCAGATGCATTTGCAGCGCTAACTCCACTCAAATGCGCTAGAAGGCTTGATCAATGATCAGTGCGTCTGAACTGCGTGAGTCGCCAGAACAAGACCCCTTACGCACGAGACCACTCGACGGGAATGCCGCGTCGTACTCTGCCACTGCTGCCTCGGATCTCGTACGTAGATATGACAGAGCAGTCGTTGAATGATACACGTAACATACAAACAGACACTCACGTGAGGGACGGAGCACTGATACGTATCACGTACCTTCAGTAACATTATACGTGAGAGCGATGAAAGCGCTGAACCGGGAGCGATCGACCTAGACGTACAGGGAGAAATATTACGACGGGATGAGAGTTGAATCGCGTACAGAAGCGTTGTCACAGGCGGAGAGACAGTGACGCTAGACATGCGCGTGGACTATACAGGGTACACTATACGACTAATGCACACCGCTAAGCTGACA